AAAAAAAAAAGGATAACATTGAGAACTTGGGCCGCCTGTGAAGAATCGTGAGGAATCGTGATCGTCAAATGGTTTCATCAGCAGAAATGTAAATAATAATAATAATTTCTTCATCGAGTTACTGCCTTGATAAAGTACAAAGTGAAATTACTAACATGGCTCTTCGCTGCGATAAAATGTCTTCGTACAAGCAAGATAGCATTTGGTCGTGGTTTATTTGTTTCTGTACGACAATTCGCATGATCGTAACAATTGGATTCACCTTCGCTCTCGGTGTACTTTTTGCTGTTCTCATGGAATCTTTCAAGGAAACCCGCGAGAAGACAGGTGAGTTTCGTGTGATGAGCTATCCAACTGAGTTCATTTTAGATGACTTTGAGCGGCTCAGATCTCAAAAACTCAGACTCCTGGAAAACTTGAATGGAGTATGAAATAGTCTAAATGTAAATAAATAATATATAGAGGACAAAGAAGTGAAGAAAACACCTAAATTGCCATAAGTATGGTTATAAATCGGCTTGAAAACCTCACGGGAACCAAGGGAACACTCATGTGCCTTCGAATTTTTTAGGCTCAAGAATGTAACCGTTTTTAAAATATATTTCGACTTGGTTTTACCGGGTTGCGAGCAACTAAGGAATGCAAATTAAGTCAGTTTACATTTGTCAAAACCTTTCGCAGAACGAAGCATGACACACTAAGTACTTTTGTGATTCCACGAGATGTAATTAGGGCTTTTGTAGAGAGCGAGCGGATTAAAACGTCAGCGCTTGGCAGTACTTCGAATCCGAATGAACAGTTCATTTATTATATTTATGAAAGCTGCAAACCTACAGTTGTGTGGTGATTGCGTGACGAGAATAGGGGTATGAGTTTTCGAGATCTTATCTTTCTACACGTAGGGATATATCCAAACGGAAATGCTAACATTCAGTTTTGCAGTTGTATTTTCTTCAAAAGTAAAGGTTCCTATACATTTGATAGTAACAGTATAAACACTGTTGTGTCAAAGTGTCAAAAGTGCCTCACTCGGTTTCATATAGCTTCAACTTTTTCACTGCGAAAAAGAAATACACTAAAAACGCCTTCCTTGGCTTCGTTTGTGTAACTTGTTTCTATGTTGCTGTAGAGCTTTAGGTCGTGTTGCTAGTAAAGTCGAAGTTAAACGATTTTAGGGAGTTATGGCTTCATTGTTCTCCAAAACGAGGGAGGACTAAGGCGAGGAACTTCCCTTCCTCGCCTTAATCCTCCCTCATTTTTCGTTCATCTCCAACTACCGAGAGCCTGGAACAGGCTAAGTTATGACGGGCCACAATGGAGAAATAATCGTTTGCTGGCTATCAAACAAGCTCGAAACATAGATGAAACCTGGAGGCGATGGCAGCTTTTCAAACAAAGTTATGCATGGCTATTTTCTTCCTTCGGCTTCGCGATGGGTCGCGATGAAAAATATATGTGAGATTTGTGAACTTAAATTCCCACTTAGCGGACGCCTTCGCGGTGGGTCTCGCTATGAAAATACCTGTGAGATTTGCGAACTTAAATTCCCACTCGGTCGGCGATGTAGGAAAGTGATGGTTAAGGCAACTATGGAGCATGCTCTTCGTGAAATCCCGAGGCGACGGGGGCTTTTGGTGCAAATTTATGGTTAAAATAATATGTTCCTAAGGCCCGACATGATTTCAACTTCGCATACCTTTACGATTTTAGACGGATATATCAAACACGAAAGACAGTGTACTGTGTTTGATAACATTTCAAAACACCTTGATCGAACCTTGAAATTGGTCAAAAATACTGCGCCTCGCGTCGTATTTTCAACTTTCTTCGCAGTGTTTGGAAATGTGGACAAACACTGTCTTTCGTGTTTCATATAGTACCTCTCTCACCGTTCATCCTCTCTTGGTAACAGTTGACAGCTATTTCTTTTCTGTTGCAGCATGGGTTTCGTCCATCATAATGGGTGTTGGGTGTCTCGTTGCTCCTGTCATGGGTGGACTCCTCAACAGATTTGGTGTTCGAATTACCACTGTATTAGCATGTTTGTCGTGTTCAGCTGGCCTTGCAATGGGTTCTTTCGCCCCACAAGTGATCGTTCTCTACATTTCCTTTAGTTTGCCTTTTGCCCTGGGCCTATCATTTATTTACACTTCTTCGCCGATTACTGTGACTTATTATTTCACTAAACGAAGATCCTTTGCTCTTGGGATCGTAACAGCGGGTCAAGGTTTGGGAACAATGATTATTGGCCCAACACTACAAGCACTAGTGGACGTTTTTGATTGGAGAGACACCTTCCGTGTGTTTGCTGGAATTTTGGCCGTCGTATCTCTAACTGGATGTTTTCTTCATCATAGAAAACCTTCTCCAGATGAACATCCAAGGGGTCCTTCCAATAAGTTCAGATTAAACCTCTCGTTATTAAAGAATCCCGCAATTCTTTTACTGGTGATACGAAATTCACTTTGTACATTTGCTCGCCTTGTTCCCTACGTGCATCTAGTAAGTATTCCATTTGTTGTGACGTACCTTGTAGTAGAGATTAAGTAAGATACACAGTTCATTTAAAAGTCCCAAACCGTATAGAAAATAGGGTTGTCTAATGATTAACACTTTATAATTTGGACCGAGGTCCAAGTACGTAATGGGCCTGAAGAGCGGCTGCACAGAAGGCTACGGTGACTGTTTTTTTTTTTTTTTCCCATGAAAAGGCGCGTCACAGTGCTTCTCTTCTCGCACTGAGGCCAAATATAAACGGGTACAGCTCTGGACCTGTTAATGCAACCAGCAGGGGCTTAGATTAAGGGGGACTGGGGGTGAAGCCTCTAGTGATCCATGCCATGGAAACCAGCGTGGGTGGGCCAGTTTGGCTCTAGTGCGACAGAACCGTAGTTTCATTTTGAAGCATATCCACCCTACAAAAACGCTCAGTTGACTTGTCTCGCTCAGCTTAAACAGGGTAGCTGCGAACCTTAAATCTGAATTTAATTTAAAATTGGTCTCCGCGCATAAAGAGTGGCGTTTTGACCGTTGATTTCTACGTGACACATCCGGATCCTGATCAAACATATTCATATTTTCAGGTAAAGCATTGTGATGATCTCGGCATTCATGCTGACAAAAGCTCAACTCTTTTCCTGTTTCTTGGTATATTTGCTACGCTAGGCCGTCTTGGAGGCGGGTTTCTGTGCAATATGAGGTTCATCAAGGTTGGTCTTCTCCAACAATCCGCAGCATTTATTGTCGGATCTTCCACCATGCTGCTGATCCTGGCAAAGACCTATGCTCTAATGGTGTTGTATGTCATCACCTTCGGCTTTGCTGATGGGATAATGGTAACATCTTTAATTATCGAATGCATACAGTCTGTTGAGGAATCAAAAAGGGCCTCAGCATTTGGATTTTTCATGTTGGTTGGTGGAGTTATTGGCATTACCAGTCCGCCTTTAGCAGGTAGTTTGAATTTGATAAATATCTGTTGCGTTTTGATCTTATTACTGAGTCATCCAATCAGGCAATCAGAAAAATCCATGCGTCCATGTATCCATCCATACATCCATGCATCCATGCATTCTTGTATCCATCCATGCATATATGCATACATACACCATGTATCCATCCATGCATCCTTGTATCCATCCATGCATACATACACCATATTTCCATCCATGCATCCATGCATCCCTGCATCACTGAATACCCACTCCCTCCCTCCTTTGTTCCCTCCCTCCTTTGGTCCGTCGGTCGATCCGTCGTAATTTCGTTTGTTCTTCAATCCGTCTATCTGCGTCCATCCACACCTCCATAAGTTTCAATTCCTTTGTTAACTCACCCAACCAATAAAACTGTGTTATATAAACAATACCATCCATTAGGCGCGGAAATGTGCTCGGATATTTGTCTGCGGACATTATCTGTTCTGTGAAGGGAACAGTTTTCCTAGAGAATAGCCTGAGGAAACCTGTGAGCGTTGAGGAACAGATGATGTTCAAAGACAAATATCGGAGGATATTTTCAGGCCAAATGGAGGCTATTGTGTTTGTTATCCTTAAAATATTTTTCGCAACACGCGCGGGTTTGAAAATTGGGAAATATCACTCGGATATTCCCAAGTTTTAGGTGGGGAATATTCAGTCACGTGACGCGTTCAGACCCTTCGCGCGCGAGCGAAAATATTTGATGGACTATATAGTCAAATAGACCGCTCATCTTGCAGTTGCTCAATTGTTAATATATGTGGACACTCTGCTTTTGTCGTCTATCTTCCAGGGTTTATGGCTGACAAATTCGGTAACTACATTGCTGCATTTCTCATGGCTGGTGGAGTTGGAATTATTGGCTCCCTCGTTCCATTTCTTCTTTTCTTGGTTAAAAATGAGTCAGAACAGAACATTAATCAAGATATTGACGAGACCGTGGACCAGAAACAAAGCGGGGATATCGACGAACATGAGCTGAAAACCGAAAATTGTTCTCAAGACTCAACACTAATAATTTGCAAGAATTATAAAAGGCCACAATCTTTCATTGTGGCAATGGAAAGTCCAATTTATTAGTTTTCAATGATTTCCACATGAAAAGGTCGGGGATGCTTGTCGGACTATTTGAATTGAACCCCTAAAGGAGATCAATCTGGGTGTGGCTCGAGCTTCATTTGACCCCGAAAAGATACCACTTAAAACGGAATAGGCTTGATTATCAGCCACTGTTAAGGAAATTAAAGGAGCCCAGGCTGATAGACCGGACTCGAGAGACTAAAAACAAGAATAAGACCGTT